GTCTCAACTCCTCCGCAAGTGCAGCCCAGGTGGGGCTGTCCTCTTTCTGCTGCTGCTGCTGCTGCTGCTGCTGGTTTATTGGGTCACCGTGCTGGTGCAGCTGCAGGCGTTCATGCTGCTGTTGCTGTTGCTGCTGCTGCTGCTGCTGCCTCGGTTGCTGTTGCTGCTGCTGTTCTTGCTGCACAGTCAGAAGGGGCTGCTCTCCCGATGCAGCCTCAGCTGCTGACGGAGACATTTTGTTTTCTGTGTCTTTGTTCTCTTTCTCCTGCTGTTGCTGCTGCTGCTGCTGCTGCTGCTGTTGCTGTTGCTGTTGCTGCTGCTGCTGTTGTTCTGTTCCTTGCTGCTGCTAGATTCCGCCGACAGCTGAGGGTTTTGCGGTGGAGGTTTGCTGCTTTAGGCCATAGCTGAAGACGCCGGGCAGTTGCATGCAAGTAGAGGCACAGGAGGGTTTAGGGTTTAGGGTTTAGGGTTTAGGGTTTAGGGTTTAGGGTTCAATGCAGAGAGCACCGAAGAGACTAGGACGAGTATTTCTTAGCAGTGCCTTGTTCCTCAGTTCATCATCCTAGAAGAAAGTCCTGCTGTTTGTGCTGCTGCTGCTGCTGCTGTTGCTGCTGCTGCTGCTGCAGGTGTGCTGCTGCGAGTCTTGCTGCTGCTGTTGCTGCTGCGGCGGCGGAGACGATACCTGCTGCTGCTGCAACTGGTTGCTGGGGGGGTGTATGTCAGGGCTGTTCAAGTGTATTGGGACTGCAGTGGGGGCTGAAGTACCTGTGGAGCCGTCAATGTGCGATGTGTTGGGGTGTATAGGCAGCTCAGATCTACACACGGGGTGTACAGGCAGCTGCGCCGCGGCTGCTGCGGCTGCGGGGGAAAGAAGAGGCAAAATACCAAGAGTTTATTGCTGTTTCTAAACAGTATAAACGAAGAGAAGAGTTTATTTACGGAAATATAGTGCATTGCATTGAGGTGTACATACACCCCAACGAACAGAACCAGTGGCCAGACCGCAGGTCAGCCGGCGGTGGTAAGCGGGAAAAAAAGAAAAAACCTGTATAAAAAAGTAGAAATAAATCCAATAAATGGATATTTAGGCACAAA